TTTTCAAAATTATGCATTAAAACCTGTGATGAAGAGAAGAAAAATATGTTTTAAGATTTTCATAAATTAAAATTGTTGGAAGGAAATTACAAAAACAACGGAATAAATCAACAAGACAATCTGTCCTAAATTTCAAATGCAACTTGAAGATAATTAACAAAAACATACACCAAACAACACAACACAATTTTATCGTGGAAAAACCTCCGTTAACTAGGAGTAAAAAATCACGGGACCTGTAGGCCACTTAAAATCTCTACTATAATCAACAATGATACAAGCATGGTTCTCTCTAACACTAGTTAGAGGCATACATAAACATCATCAAGATTTGCAATCAATCTTGGAATACAATAGTAATCAAGAGAGACAAAACAATCCAAAATCACCAAGAAATTCAGACTTCAAAGATGGACTCGGCAGAAGATCTTAGAAAGCTCTGAATCCAATCTCCACCATTTAGAATGTGCTTCTATGAGTCATGAACATTGTGTCAAAATTTCAGGACGATCTGACAGTTGGATTTTGCGCAAGCTTCAATTTGCTGGTACTGACTTGTGCAGAATTGGGGATGCGAGAATAGGATTTTCTCTCTAGCTTTTCTTGTTGTTTTTCTCACATAATGAATAAATAATCTAATTCTCTTTGTTGGATAATAACAAAGACATAGATACACATGAGCCACTAACCCATATCCATTTGGACCTCTCCAAATAGGAGGGATAGCCCATCAAGCTCCCCCGATCGACTAGTATAAGGGAAACACCAAACCATCTACCGTGCGATAAAACTTAAACTTTCCTCTAGACAACACCTTCGTCAACATATCCGAACCATTTTCATCGATGTGAATCTTCTCAAGATCCATCAATTTGGAATCTAATGCATCACGAATCCAATGATAACATACATCAATATGCTTCAACCTCGAGTGAAAAAAGGAATTATTCAATAAGTGAATGACACTTTGATTATCACAAAACAGGACATACTTTTCTTATTTCACACCTAATTCTATTACTGATTTCCTCAACCATAATAACTCTTTTGAAGCTTCAACGACGACTATAAACTTGGCTTCATAAGTAGAGAGTGCAACACACTTTTGCAACTTTGATTGCCAAGCCACGACTCTCCCGACAAAAGTCACCATATATTCTGAAGTGGATTTTGGATCATCTAAGCTTCCGGCCAAATCAGAATTTGTATATCCAACCAACATAGGCTTCTTACATCCCAAAGTTAGTCTCAAATTTGAATTGCCACACAAATATCTCATCATCCACTTCACGGCTTCCCAATGATCTTTTTCCGGATTTGAGAGATAACGACTCACCATTTCCACGGCATGAGCAATATCGGGTCTTGTACAAACCATAACATACATTAAACTACCAACGACCGAAAAGTACGAAATATTCTTCATACTCAACTTTTCTTCATCCGTAGATGGACATAGTTTATGAATAAGCTTGAAATGAGAAGCAAGTATAATGCTCACCTCTTTAACCTTATCCATACTAAAACGCTGAAGGACTTTATCCACATGCACTTCTTGTGACAAGTACAACTTCTTCTCATTTCGATCTTGAACAATTTCAATACCAAGAATTTTCCGAGCCTCTCCTAAATCTTTCATAGCAAAAGATTCACTCAAAGTGTTCTTCAACTCTTTAATTCTTGAAATATTCTTTCCAACAATTAACATATCATCCACATAAAGCAAGAGATTAATGAAGTCGCCTTCTGAGAAATTCCAGAAAAACACATAATGATCGACCTTAGTCATCTTGTACCCATGTTCAATCATCACCGAGTTAAACTTTTGATACCATTGGTGAGGTGCATGTTTCAAATCATAAAGACTTTTTTTTTACCAATTTGCAAACATAGTCTTCTTTGCCTTTCTCTCGGAATCTATCTGGTTGCTCCATGTAAATTTCTTCATGTAGATCACTGTGAAGGAAAGCTGTCTTCAAGTCCACTTGCTCTACTTCCAAATCAAGACTAGCGGCTAGCCCAAGAACTAATCGAATAGATTGCATCTTCACAACCAGAGCAAAAATCTCGCCGAAGTCAAAACCTTCCCATTGTTTAAAACCTTTTACCACCAAGTGAGCCTTGTATCTTCTTTGAGAAGTACACTCATCTTACTTAATCCGATAAACCCATCTATTCTTCAATGCTCTCTTACCCTTTGTAAAATTCACTAACTCAAAGGTATTATTCTCATGAAGTGATTGCATTTCATCCTCCATGGCATCCGTCCATTCCTTTTAGTTATCATCCTCCAAAACTTCTGTAAAGGTTTCGGGTTCTCCATCACCGGTAATAAAAACATACTCGTTTAAGGGTATCGAGCATAAGGTCTTTTATCATGAGTAGACCGCCTCAACTCATTAGAAGCAACCAATGACTCAATGTTGGTCGTAATCACGATTCTAAATTGTCACATGTAAGTATACATGTTGTGATTGCAGCAAGTAATAAGTATAAGAGTATCGTACCCCCAGGGAGTAAATGCTACTTATATTTGACTTTGTAATTTTCTATTCTTTCAATTTAAGCATGAGTGAGAAATAATAATGTTGATGATGATGAGTTTAGTTCTACTTGTAATAAGACTACAAAGGGTATGAAAAAGAGTGAGTTATAACAAGAGTGATTGAAGCACACAAACTCTTTGTTAATATTTCTTTCAGCAGCATAACTCTCTCTAGCTAGCTTCCCTTTATATAGGCCAAGGATTAATGTTGTTATCTTGCATTGAATCACAGGCTTTTCTTTTGAATCACATCAAGCCCAAATGGATTAGCGCCAAAACACCAACAGTTGCTAGACAGAACAAGGAAATCGTACAAAAGGGAATAGTAGTGGGAGACAAGGTGGTGTGTAGTAGACTCCGCAGCAGGCGCATGAGATACGGGTCTTACTAGAGAAGGGTACAGTTGTACCCTCTTTTGTCTTCTAGCTACTCCACTATCATCTTTTGAATTTGATTAATTTATCCTCTTTTTCTGTACCACCAAGTTTTCCCTCCTTTTGTTCTCCTTCTACACCTTCCTTAAGGACAACAACTTCCCTTATTGAAATTCTCTTGCCTAATAATTCTTCTTTAAATTTCCAACTTGTGCAACTTACAGTAGTCTAACTCTGTCTTTCCTCTGCTCGACTTTGCTAACCTTTGTTCACACAAAAACATAATTAAAAACTAAAAAGGGGAGCACCTATTGTACTCCACACTAAACATTGAATTAACTCGAAAATGGAAGAAATTAAACTAAAAAGAAATTAAAATACTTAAATAGAAGAAACTAAAGGCAGAAACTAACTCACAAAATGTGTGTTAACACGCCTTCCAAACTTGAATCATTATCTGTCCTCAGGTGATGCGACAGGCAATGATAAACAAAACAACAACAAGCATTGATCCCCCTCCTTTACATACCTAACTTCTTTTACCAAGACCTACATTCTTTTAAAAAGAAATGTTTCCTAAAGGAAGTTTTCTCAAAAATAGGTATAACTCAGACTATAGGCACAATTATGAGCATTCATTCTATGGGACACAAACACTTCATGTCACAACAAAACTCTTCTATCAAGATACTCAACTTATTTTTTCAGATTTTATTTGTTTCCTCCTATGGTCTTTCACTTTGAGTTTCAGGATTTTGATGGGGTTATTGGCTTCATACGACTTTGAACTTACACCTAGGACCTACACATGCATGCTTTTATTTTCAAGAAGATTTTTGTGTAGTTACCCCACCTTTTCACTAGACGGATCTCATTTGTGATGAGTCCAACTTGATAATTATGATGGGGAAAGCTATTGTTCCTCCAGTTTTGGGCACATGAACTTTGATTAAAAGCATGCTCTTCTAGTTTCGGGCACTACACACTTTGTTGTGTTTATTTGCTAAGTCATGCAGTATTTCCGGAGTGTTCCAGTCCTTTTACCATTGTATTAACCACCCCACTAAGCCTTTTTTTTCTTTCTAATTCCTAATACACACTTAAAACCAAAGAAATTTCATCATAAATGCTGACTACTTGACAGACTACTTGAGTAACGACAGGACTTGCCTATAACATAAGATCAATGCTCTAAATACTCCTTAAGTCCATGTTCCCTACATTGTTAAAGTCCCAATTGGATTTCTCAGATAGTCTGTCCTAAGAAGAGTTTTACATGCTTTGCTCAAATGTATTTATTATTATTCTTATCATTACTATTTTTTTAACAACACTAAAACAAAATCAAAAATAAAAGTTCATAAATTAAAGGGCTGCAAGCAACCAACAACAGGAAAGACAAAAGAAACAATAACAAAAGGTAACAAAAGGCTAGAAACAACCATTAAAGCAATAAGGCAAATAGTGATATGATTGAAAAGGTAAAATAAGAGAAGAGTCGAGTTATGACTCTTGCCACCACTCCACCCAAACTTAGATTAAAGACAATGTCCTCACTATTTAGTTGGAGGGGCAGGGCACGCCTATTTTCTTTGCGCTTACCAGTTAGGCACGAAGCCTGCTGCTCTTCCATGAGGGTTTCTTGAGAGTGGGATCTTGCTTAGCTTTCTTCCTAGCCTCCTTCAGGAAGGCTTCAGAAGATTGGGTTTCAAAACTATAGTCTTGACTGGGGACTTCTTTGGAGGTGCTTTGGCTGTTACTAGAGACTTAACTAGGGTTGGTCCTATGACATTCTTACTAGCTGAACATGTGGTGTTGGCCTTTATAGGATCCTTAACCTTCTCGGGAGTGACTTCAGGAGTCACATCAGCACCCGACTTACCAGGAGTCATCTCAGATTGTTCCAATTCTTTCGAACATTCAGAGAGATGTCCTTCTTCCTCCTCCCTTACTTCTTTAGATTTCTTGTTAGGACCTTCCTCAGCTTCACTCATAACAACTTCAGTTTCATTTTCTTCTTCCTCATCTTTTCTCGAGTCTTCCTCGGTCACGACAGCCGTGTCCTGCATCTTAATATCTCCTTATTCCTTGTCATCTTCCTCCTTCTCAACTTCAGTCTCTACTTTTTCTTCATCAACTTTTTCTTCTTCAGCTGTCTGGTCCTCTAACTCTTTCACAACTTCCTCATCACTCTTCTTCTCGGCCTTCTTAGATTTTTCCTTTTTAGGAACTTCAGCTCTGAAATCCTTCTTGTCCTTGACCGCTTGTTTGATCATATTGTTTAAAGTCTCATCATCATCAGATTCTGAGTTGTCATCTACCACTGGTGCTTCTTCCACAGTCTTTTTCTTTGGCACCACCTTCTTGGCTGGTGCTTCTCCCTTGGATTTCTTCTTCTTCTTCTTAGGTGAATCATCTAGAGGCACACCTTGAGTGGACGTTCCAGGATCTCTCACAACAACAGACTCAAAATTCACTACCTTCTTACCCTTTCTCTTAATTTTCTTCTCTTCTTCATCATTCACTAAGTCCTCATCTTATTCTTCTTCTTCTTCCTCCATCCCCAATATGTGGTCAGGGAACAGAGTGGCTGAAATATCATTATCCATTATTTTGTAAACCTTAAACTCCCATTCATATCTTACTTTATAAAATCTGTAATAATCTCTTTGATCCTTCTGCATTTGCAACATCACTTGCCATGACAAACTATCAGTTTCAAAACTGATGTCTCCTTCAGACGACTTCTATCCCGCCTCCTCTCTCTTTCATGCCTTTTACTTCATCAACATTTGCAGACTGTTTCTATCAAACCCAACTTTTGGATAAACCCTTACTCAAAACATTGTTAACTATAGAACGACGATGATATCACATCAATCCCCGTGGAAATAATAAAGTAAATACTTACCCTAACAAAAGTGTTTCAACATATTCTCAACACAACTATCACAAACAATAAGGAAATCATCAACAATAGCAACTTATTTATTATTGTTACCTTCCTTTTTGTCGTTGTTGAAGCTCTTCTTCTTGTTTTCCCTTTTCAACTTACGACAATACCTCTTTATGTGTCCCTTTTCCCCACAATGATGACACTTAATATAAGAGAATCTATTAGAGCTTCCTTGTGATTTACCACATGAAGTTTCACGATCACTTGAACCTCTAATTTGATGTCTCCCACTTGATTCAATAATTAACACCTCAGAATATGAAGAAGAACCTTGTATCTTACACCTCGACCCCTCATTCAACACACTACTATTATCCAAGTCCATCAATACGATACCATTCAGAGAGGAGTTAAACAAAGATGTCCTAAAAGTCTCCCAAGAATTAGGCAAAGTATCGAGAAACCAAAAACCTTGAATTTCATCATTAAAAGTAAGATTCATCTCCGACAATTGATTTAGAATACCTTGAAAAATGTTCAAGTGATCGGTTATTGGTGAACCATCACTATACCTCAATGACATCAATTGCTTGAACAAGAACAACTTATTGTTCCCCATCTTTCTTGCATACAACTCCTCAAGTTTGGTCCAAAGAGAGCGAGCATGAGTCACCAAGCTCACATGATTCAAAACATTATCATCCACCCATTGGCAAATATAACCACAAAGTTGTATATGCAAAAAATTCCATTATGCATCACTCTTTCTATCAGGTTTTTCATTAGAGAAAACCGACAAGTGAAAACCTTTCACATAAAACAAATCTTCCATTTTCCCCTTCCAAACATTATAATTGGTACCATTCAAACTCACAATCCTAGATGTGTTCGTCAACATCGTTACACAAATCAAACCATGACTCTAAATACCACTTGTTGGGAGGAAATCAAAACTGCAACGAAATAAACCAAGAAAATATCTCCCAAATATCAAATGCAACTTAGAGACAGTTAACAAAAAAACACACCAAACAACACAACACAATTTTATTGTGGAAAAACCTCAGTTAATTAGGAGTAAAAAAACCACAGGACCCATAGGCCACTTAAATTCTCCACTATAATCAACAATGGGTACAAGCAAGATTCTCGCTAACACTAATAAGAGGCATACATAAACATCATCAAGATTTGTAATCAATCTTGGAATACAACAATAATCAAGAGAGACAAAACAACCCAAAATCACCAATAAATTCAGACCTCAAAGATGTACTTGACATAAGGACTTAGAAATCTTCGAACCCAATCACCACCATTCAAAATATGCTCTTATGAGTCATGAATGTTGTGTCAAAATTTCAGAATTATCCGACCGTTGTATTTTGCGCAAGGGCTGCGGGAATAGGGTTTTCTCTCTAACTTTTCTTGTTTTTTTTCTCACACAATGAATGAATAACCTAATTCTCCTTGTTTGGTATTAAAAAAGGCATTGAAACACATGGGCCACTAACCCACATCCATTTGGGCCTCTCTAAATAGGAGGGATAGCCCAACAAAAATGTCAGTAAATTAGTTGAGAAATAGAAGGAAGATGCTAGAGCAACAATGGCGGAAATCTACCAGTCAACCAGAGTCGGCGATGATGCAATAGTTTGTGATAATGACATGAATGAGTCAGATATTGATGGTGGTTTGTATGATGGGTGACAGTTACTCGTCGGTGGCGACGACTATCAACGATCCTTGGGGGAAATGGGTTTTATTCAAAAGGTTTGCGGGTATCAACTTTGGTCGTTTTGGTTCATGGATCAATTCATCAACGAGTCATGTTTTGATTCATTATTGATTTATTGGATTTCAACAATTATATATATATATATATATATATATATATATATATATATATATATATATATATATATATATATATATATATATATATATATATATATATATATATATATATATATATATATATATATATATCCTCATCATCACTATTAGTAGAAGGACTTGGAGAAAGACAGAAGGAATAAATGGTAATTCTAGTATGGTAACTTAGAGAGATAAAAGGCAGTGGGTTCAACCCAAACAATTTGCGGGCATCCTTTGGTCAATTTGGTTTGCAAATCAATTCATGAACAAGTTTTTGGGTCATTATTGATTTATCGGGTTTCACCCATTATAAATATGTATCTCATCACTATTGGTAGAAGGACTTGGATAAAGACATAGGAAATAGATGGTAGTCCTAGTATGTAAACTTAGAGAGATAAAAGATAGAAATTTATTATAATTCTTGGAGGTTTCAAAGGGAATTAAGAAAAACTTTTAAACATTTTAGGTTTTTTTGATTCATATAAGAATAGTTGAAGAAATTGAAAAAAAAAAACTCCGGTAGAAAATAGTGTTTATTCTTGGGAATTTTGGTGACTATTTTCTTATAATAATTCTTGGAAGTATAGTGAATTAGAGAGTTGCTCTCTTTTTAGAGCTGATCGATTTGATCGAACTGGATAAACAAGATCATTATATTCTCGTCTCTTATTTTCTTCTTGCTTGTTGTGGATTTGCCTAAACTAGTTATAGGTTATTTGTTGTTTGATACTATTTATTTTGGTTGCTATTGTTTTTATCCCACACATATTTACTTTCAACGAAATTAATATTATTGTTAGATTTCAATGATAGTTTGGTGTGATGAACCTTTCAATTTCACAATACGAGTCTTGTTTAAATACTAACAAATTGATTTTAATTCCGAAGTCTCACATGTAACATTTCTCTACATATTCAAAGATACATTGGTCATCCATGAATTAACTTCTTATTATGTTGGAACAACATACTTATATAACTTTGTGATTGATAACAACGACGAATCATTAATAAATTCAACTTGAATTTATAATACAATTTTCTGCAAAGAAAGCTATCGAATGTTGCACATATGACAAATAAATGTTTCTGGTACTTTAGTTTAAATGGAGGAGTTGTATTATAACTTTAAACTAAAATATAAAAATGTTGAAATTCGACTAAACATTCACCCCCATAAAAGGGGGCATGTATAAAGTTGAGATTTTAGAACATATTGCTGCTAGAGTTGATGTTTTATTTCAAAGATTTGATAAATTGGATTTTAATGTTGTCACCCTTAATGTTATCATGTTGGTGTTGAGTGTAAAATGATTTTAAATGAAGAGAGTCTAGCCTACATGATGTTAACTACCTTACCAGTTCTCATTAAGAGAGTTTGTATTCTAATACGTATAACCCAAGATAGAGAGACCACATATATTTTTGTTACAAGAACTCCTCTCCCTAACTAGAGGGTAGAACTCTGGTTTTTCAAGGACAAAAGGGTACTTATGCTCCCAAAAGTCCAATCTTGAAAATCTAATAAAAATGATGTGATCACTCAAACAAAACAAAATAACAAGTTTAAAAATCTACTTATCCTCTAAAGTAGATTCTATGGCCGCCAAAATAAAATGTTGGAGACTTAAATCTCTCAAAGTAGTACAAGAAATTGCTTCATCCTCTAAACATCCTAAGACATTTCCAGGGTAGTCCAAAAAAATCCTAAATGGAATTAAAATGACCACACCTTAAAAAAATAGGAAACAACTTGATGATCATAAGGAGAAATATGAGACTGGAAATGAGGATAGGAAAATTTCCATCCAATAAGTTAGGTTGAAGAAAATGAAAAAGAAAAACCTTATGTCCCTCAACCACCATGTAAACCATCTATCTCATTCCCACAAAGATTTGCCAAAGCTTAGATTAAGAAGAAATCTTTTAAAATGTTTATGGAACTTTTGACAAAATTATACATAAATATTCATTTCAGGAAAGTCTTGTCACAAATCTCACCATATTCCAAATTTCTAAAAGAAATTTTATCAACCAAAAGAAAGCTAGATGACAATGAGACATTGGCTCTAATTGATGAATGTAGTGCCAAATGAATTTCCTACTAAAGTCAATTATTTGGGAAGTTTTTCAATTCCATGTGTCATTGGAAATATGAGCTTTGAGCGTGCTCTACGTAATCTTTGGGTTAGTGTTAGCCTTATGCCTATATTAGTATGTAAAAAGCTTAATATCAGTGAGTTGAAATCTACAAACATCTATGTATAATTAGTTTAATGATCTATTAAGTACTCACTAGGAATTTTAAAGGATGTTCCTATAAGAATATGTTATTTGTTATACCCACTTACTTTTTTTAATGGAAATGGAAGAGGACTTAATTTTAACATGGGAGACGCTACTAGATGTTAAGTTGGTAGACTTAATTTTAACATGGGAGACGAAAAGTATGAATTTATATTGTCTAACCTCATGAATAGTTATTTCGTTGATGATTCTTGTTGTGATCTTGATATAATACATCATTGTGTTAGAAATTCTCCTTCGAATTACCTCCATAAGACGGATTTGAAGCATGTTTTATTTAGAGTACAAATAAAAAAAGTAATAATGAAGAAGGTGAAGTATATGGAAAATTGATGAATGAAAATTCTGCCATTCAAAGCCAAGATATTGAAGTGTTAATGGTGAAAAATTCAACACTCATTCAAAAAGAAATTTCAAAGGTATAACTAAAATCCTTACCATTAAATCTCAAATATGTTTTTCTTAGTAAAAACTTTATATTGTCTATCATTGTAAGTACATAATTAAAGGGTAATAAAACTAAAAAATTGCTTGATGTACTACAAAGTTACCCTAAAGAAATTGAGTATACTATAAAAGGGGTAAATTCATCCATTTGCT